CCTACTACTTGGTCCGGAGTTATATGTGAAAGCTATTATTTTTTAATAATTATGATATTTAGTCAGAGACCCTTTATATAAGCCTTTTGACCTTAATGTCTGATGATTTTAGCCTATGCTTTGGTTCCATTATATAAACTTTCCATAATGAAAATGTTATTTGTGAAGCAAACTATGTTTGTAAAACCTTTTCTCAATAGAGAATATTATGACATATTTCTTGTATTGTTGAACTAAACGAAATCTGCCCCTGATGTTGGTTCTTTTTACAAAAAAATCCTGTTAAGTTAGTTAATAGCAAATACTACTTTGACATGTTTCTAGGCCAATTGCAAACTATCATAAAAAAAAAAAAACAAACTTCAGAGGTATTTGTAATAACTGGAAAGGTGTTTGTACTTTCGATAGTTGACTATATGGTTTTGTCATTTGGCAAACTTCAATGGTAGTTTCTGTAATTTGCCTAGTAGATAATATCATGTTAATCAAGGAAGCTTTAACTACCTGAAAGGGGGGAGTGGGCGGACCAATTTTCATATTTTCGTTATTTGATTGTTTTTTTCATTTTGATTATAAGTTTATAACTATTATAAGTTCTGATTTGAAGTACTTCTCTATGTGGGGCACGGCATGAACGTAGTTTTGGCGTAAGAATTATCATTGTAGAACATGTCAATTTAATTAAAAAGATAGATGTCTGCGATATTTATCTGCGAAATTAGGATGCTCTAGACATGGAAGATTTTGCTAGTAAATAAGATTTTGTTGTATCATCTATGCATGAGGCCATATCCACACAGAAAATTCCTCTTACCCACAATTTTCTTTCTGAAGGCAAGAGCTGATTAATTACTGGGTACTTCTTTTCCTATTTGTTCTGTCAGTTTGTTCATTGCAACCATTATAACTTCATGTCCGTTTTTATGCTTTCCTATTTGAGTTGTTCCCTTTTGGAGTTAGAAGATGATTTTTTATATTCATGCAAAAAGTTTACTGATCTACGAACTAATTCTGTTTATTGTTTCTAATTTCTAAACTGAAACTTTGTTTGAAATGTAGGAGGTTGAATTTGAATGTGTTCCAACTACACTTATGGATCGAGTCATTAATTTTCTCAATGTAAGTTGCTAGCTATTTTGTTTTACCCTTTTTCATGTAGGGTTTGTTCTTATACGAAACTCTTACAGGATACTAGGGAAGATCTTAGATCATCAATGGCTAAAGATGCAGCTGCGATCAAGAATGAGAGCATTCGCATTGATGGAAGTCCTAAGAGTAGTAAAATATTGAACTCCAACGGAGAGCAATCCGTAGGTCAGCTGGACAAAGAACTATTATATGACTTTCAAAGAAAAATTACTTTCTCTAAGAATGAGCGGCAAGATTCAGCCTCCACCGTTCTCTTGGACAAAAGAACACCGTATGAATCGCTTTTAGGTATGTTAACTCTCATTTTCAGTATATCCTGGTCTTGCATGTTCAGAATTCTAAAGAGCTACTTCTCAGTGTATGAATAATAACAAGTCTCATAAAAATATTTTTTCATTACATGACTATTAAAAGGTCAAAAAATAAAATAACATTATTCTGGTTTAGTTTTTATAATATGGAGATTTCTTCTGTTCTTGATTAGATATTTCAGAGTTATATCCCATTGAGAAGTGTAACTAGATCAATTTCCTCTTCATTATTACTTGTGAGTTGTGATGTTTATGTTTAATTATCATTAATAATGCAAAAGAAGAACATGATGAAATCTAGAATGAGAGGTCTAAAACTAGGATGCATTTTGATTGGTTCAATATCACATTATAATTTGTGCCTCCGGCAAATTATTTTGCAAAGATCGAGGGTAATCAAGGTAAAATTGAGGATAATTTTTTTCTTATTTATTGATTAGTCTATTTAAGCAAGAGGGATGAGGAATCAGGAATGAGAAGAAGAGATAGTTAGCGAAACATAATGTAGAAATATGGAGCTGGCTTCTAAGTAGATTTCCAGAATTTGGTATAGAGAAACATGCAATAGAAGATAATTTAATAATATGTTTGTTCCAAAATGAAATTTTGCAGTCCAATTTAAAGAAATCCATAGTAAAACTTTCTTGCCCCTAATTACAGATATGTCAAATGAAGATCAGCTTATTGATAAGTTGCTACATTCGGGAGGAATGATTGCAGACAAGTTAAAAGGATCCAGGCAACAAATTATCCTTGTAGCTTCACTCATCGATCGGATACCTAATCTTGCTGGGTTGGCCCGGACATGTGAGGTGTGTTACACATAGCCTCCATGTTTTTTTAACTGCTTCCATGTCGGCACCACGTTTTACTTTAACAAATGTTTTCAGCTCTGTTTAGCATGTCTCTGATTTAAGTCTATTTTGTATGACAATCTTTCTGCAGGTATTTAGATCAGCAGGACTAGCTATTGCGAACAAAAATATATTAACTGACAAGCAGTTTCAACTTATCAGGTAACTCGAGCCGTATTTTCTTTCTTTCTTGTGTTTGTGTGTTGTTGATGGTGCAAACTGAATTTTGCTATATCTGTTCATGACTGGATGCTTCTTTGGCCTTCCCATATTCTGTTTTTGCAAAAATATAGTTTTGGCACATAGCGTTGCCTGCTTATATAATCTTGTGGGTTAGCGTAGTATTGTTCTGTTGCACAGTGCAAACAAAATTGTATGACATTCATAAACTAAAATCAACAGTGCAATTGATTGATTAAGTCAGTTCAATTCGAAATATTATTGAAGAAGTAGAAAAGTATCCTTGTATAGTTGTTTATGTTACCAACAAGAATCTACATTGTGCTTTTTTGACATTGGAAGATATTTGTTACTAAACTAGCATTTTGTTTTATCAGTGTAACAGCGGAAAAATGGGTTCCTGTTTTGGAAGTCCCGGTGGAGAGTATGAAAGTATTCTTGGAGAAAAAGAAACACGAGGGTTTTGCTATCTTAGGTCTGGAGCAAACTGCAAATAGCATACCACTGGACCGGTACAATTTTCCTACAAAAACAGTAAGTAATTGTCCCACAGGCTTTTGTCTCTCAGTTAATAATATGGAATTGAATATTTGATTTTTGTTGCATGAATTTATTCGTCTTCATATTGGACAGGTATTAGTTGTTGGTCGTGAGAAGGAAGGAATACCAGTAGAGATAATTCATATGTTGGACGCTTGCATTGAAATTCCGCAGTTAGGAGTCGTTAGGTCTCTTAATGTTCATGTCAGTGGTGCTATTGCACTTTGGGAGTACACTCGACAACAGAGGATGCTCTAACTCCAACATCGCCACTATACTTTGCAAATGCCAGAATTCTTTTGAATTACAGTCTTTTCTTTTTGTTCAAATTTTGTATTGATCATTTTAGTAAATGATTATCTCATCATAACAGTTGTTTCTTATTTTCTTATTTTTTTTTTATTTTTTTTTAATATTACCTTTGAACTTTTATTTCAATGGAAGGGAGAATAACAGAGAACCTAATTTCATTTTCAAAAAGTATATTTTCTGATTGAGTTTTTTTTTTAATATAAAATATTTTCATGTATTACCCTTAATGTTTATATTGCTCAAAATACTCGACATTTTTATTTGACCGAAAACAACTCAGCTCCAGGATTCAAGAATTGTCATTCTTGATATCAATTGACCAAGTCGGACAACATTGATCGACCACATTACAGTTATTTTATAAATTAATACAGTTGGGACCATCAAAATTTCAGTAATTTAGCCAAATATTAACTTATCGATAAATTAATAATTATTAATTTATACATTAATTAATAAATTATTAATTTTTGAAAATATTTTATTATTATTTTCAATAAATCCATTTTTTTTTTTTTTTTTTATGTGTATATTATTCATTGTACCATTAGTTCATTGCATTATAGAGCCCGTTGCACGAACAGAAGCTCTTACAACAGCAATGGTATAAAACAATTTTATATTGAGTTATGAGAAAACTAAACTGAAAGTTCTAACCATGTTAAGAAAAGTGAGGGACGAGATTGATGGTAACGTAAACTTCAACAAAAAACAAGCAACAATTAAATTATATTGTATTAAACTTTCATAAATCTATAAAATATGTACTATACCATGTAATTTAAGAATTATTTTCATGCATTATTAATTTATATATTATATGGGGCTTCTTAAATTTTTCGAATGTGTATTATCTTATAAATTTAGCGAATTATTAATTTAGCACGTTGTCCCCGAGTCGGGACCGAAATAATTTATTATTTAAGCGAGATTATTAATTTATCGAGATTCTACTGTATGTGACTAATTTTCTGAGCTCGACTCAAATGCTCTTGTATATATTAAGGCATGTATTCAACTGCATGAATTGGTGTGGATTGCTCTCTTCGAGTCTTTCGTGGACAAAGTAAAAAAATTAGGGCAAATTGCAAAGAAGCACATGATAGTAAATTAAAAAAAAAGACATATTACTTTTTCTTCTATGCAAACATATCTACCCATGCAAAATTTATTTTCTAGGAAAACTTTCTGATATATCGTAAAATTACCCCTAGCCCTGTGAAACCCTAATTTACGCCAATCTTAGGATTTACTCTAATTTAGTCTCAATTTCACCAATTCACTAATTTTGACTCTGATTTTGGCTGCAGCTGCCGTTGATCTTTTATTCTTTTGATTTCTTTTCCCGCAACCGCTGGTCTCTGGCGTTTTTTTTTTTTTTGGAGTTGTTTTTTCCCTAATTTTTTCCACCACCGTTGGTATCTGGCGTTGACGTTTATTTATTATTTGGTTTTTTTCCCCTAAAATGTTTTTTTCCCGACACCGCTGGTATCCGACGTTGACGTTTATTTTAATTTGATTTTTTCCCCTAAAATGTTTTTTTCCGCCACCGTCGTTGACCTTTTTAATTTGATCTGAAAAAACATTACCCCCACATGGTAGCGATCGAACTAAAGATTTTGGTTCCAGTGGGGACAACTATGATCATGGTTGCTGCGGTGAAGTAGGCACGGGTATCAACGTCTAAGCCCACAGTAAACATATGATGAGCCCAAGCAAGAAATCCAAGGACGCCTATACTGATCATGGCATAAACCATGCCTAGATACCCGAAAACCGGTTTTCCCGAAAAAGTAGAAACGATATGACTTATGATACCGGATCCAGGCAGAATGAGAATATACACATCTGGATGACCGAAGAACCGAAAGAGATGCTGGTATAATATGGGGTCTCCCCTCCAGCAGGATCAAAAAAGGTTGTATTAAAGTTTCGATCAGTTAATAATAACATGGTAACTGCCCCTGCCAGTACCGGAAGTGATAATAAAAGTGGGAATGCTGTCACTAGAACGGACCAAACAAATCAGCCTTTATTCAACGGGGTAGTAGAGGATGCATCCAATTTGACATTAGAAGGGGCTTTGGCACGTCGAGGAAGAGAAGAAGCTCTTTGCGGGGTTTGGCTATCTTTTCCCCCTATGCGCCTAGAAAGGCTATCTTTAAAAGAGCTTGCTTTCAGGTATCTTTGATCGAGTTTGCCCGTGTCGTCATAGGTTTGAAGTTGTTTTCTTCGTATAGTCAATTATGATATCAACTGGGGTTGGGTAAAATCCTGCGTAATCCTGAATAGCTCTCCTATGTACACATCCCCAGAGAGTAGCAACGAGCCTTTCCTCTTCTATCTCGGTGATTCTTGGGGAGAATGGGACCCGAATGAACCTTCCTCTGAGCGGCCCGTGATACCTTGTTGAACTCGGTAGCTTGTTTGCTATCATAATGATTGGAACGTTTTTCGTCTTAGTGAAGACTTTCCCATACTTGGTATCAAGCCGGCATTCTTGCCCATCCAGCACCTTGAGTATCGTGTTAGCATAACATGTTCCTTCCTCTCTCGCTCCCGTAAGGCGGCTGTCTTCATTCTGCTTGTCAAAGACCCATGTGTCATAGGCATCGTGTCCGCAGGTAAAGAGTACATGTGTTGCGCTACCAAGGAGGTAATAACCCCTAAAGAAGCTAGAGCAAGGCCTAATTGAAAATGAAGCGAATTATTGATTGTATCATAAAGACCCGTATGCCCACGTCCCAATCGCCCTCCCGGAGGAATATGTGCATCTAAAAGATCCTTGATACAGTGTCCAATCCCGAAATTTGTTCTATACATATGACCGGCAACAAGAAAAATAAATGCAATAGCTAAATGGTGATGAGCCATATCTGTCAGCCATAAACTTTGTGTTTGTCGATGGAATCCCCCAAGAAGGGTTAGGATGGTAGTTCCTGCTCCTTGGGAGGTCCCAAATAAATGACTAGTTGAATCAGGATTTTGAGCATAAAGATTCCACTGACCTGTAAAAAGTCCTAAGACTAAGAGATGCTAGTCACCAATGGAGCTAGCAGCTAGAACGAAGGCTGATAGGCTATAGACCGTTGCGACAGGAAAAGCTACCACAAAGACTGAAGACTTATACCGCATGGCAGGAGTCGAATAAAGAAAGAGCTTTGAATAAAGCTAGCGCATACCAATGCTACAGGACTGCTTGAGCAAGAAGATCACCCCCCTTCCCTTACTCTTGTGAGTATATATGGCTCCTATAAGTGCTTTCGCTAATATTGCTAGGAGCTAAGAACATAGTGCTAGGACCTCTTTATTGAAGACAAAGCTGATATATTCTAGTCCTATATGACTTTTGCTTATAGTGCTTATGCTAGTCTTACTAGAAGGTTAGGTTAGTATATAGCCTTACAAGCAAAGCAAGTGAAACACTCGCCAGAGCAGCAGTAAGCATAGAAGCAATCTTGACTTGTAGTCTATACTTGTTGCTGGCATAAGTCACCACTCGGTTGTCTCACCTCTTCTGAACAAAAGAGCAACGATCGATAGGGTTATCAAAGTACTCTGAGCTTTCTGTTCCGGCACACGCATAGAAGAAATGACAAATTCAGGGATTGGGCTTTTTCCCACACCGGAGAGCACAGCCCAAGAAAGTGCAGTCGAAGTTCTAAGTTCTAATAGAACGGTAGCTCACTGAACGAAATCCATTTCATTTAGTAGGGAAGTTGTTTTCCAGCCCCAGCGTAGTAAGAATCAATAGATTCACCAAGGAAAGACAAGGGAAAAGCAATGCTTTTTCTTAGCGCCCGTTCTAACGAGTTAGCCAATCCACTTCTTTTCCTTACATTGGTAGGCCAAGGTGTAAACGAACATAGATAAGCTAACCAACATACTTTCTATGTTGAATAGAAGGCTGGTATTTTTCTTTTTTTGTTGAACTAAACCACCCCTCCAACGCAAAGCAAGAGAGGCGGGTTACCTTGTCTTGGAGAAAGATCTCAGGTTACGGTAGGGGTCCTAGATAAAGAATTGGAGCTAGCAGAAGAGAGAGGCACAACAGTTGGTATTGGCTTATTCCCGCACCTGTACGATTGATTGCTTCAAGGCTTTGCACCTTTCTAATGCTACGAAATTCTATTATGACTATTCTATGCTGGGGAGGTTGGATAACCGATGCCCTGGTGACAGGTGTAGCGCCCAGTTGAGGCTTGTTCGTTTGGACTGCCAAACTAGATGGTAGCGTGATCGAAGCCCAGATTGCGTGATTGGTCGAACGGGGTAACGTGATGTGGATAGGTCCATTCAACCATCCATGTTTTCCAACCAATGTCCGCTTTGGTGATGGAGAGAATGCGTGGAGTGCATCACAAAAAGCGACCGTCTTGGGCATGACGGCCAATGGGATAAAGGTTAGCATAAACATAAAAACGAAAAAATACGTCAAAAACTGGTAAATTCGAGGAAATTTGTCTGGCAGAGCATTATTGACCACACGCCCTAGCATAGCCTTTCCCGCAGGAACATCCACAATAGATCTAGTGCGCTTAACAAGATATCCTTCTTTAATAGCAGTATCACTACCAAAGACAACAATCCCTACATTCTCATTCTCAAGATTTAAGGCTATTCCATTTCTCTATAATCGTTACGGGCTCCTGAATTCCGGGGGCAACGACGATCTTGCTAGAATGGTCACCATTATCGATTTACAATCGATAGGGGAACGCAGTGTCGAGGCCGCATTAGTGGATGATGGGTTTCACCCCAATGCTATTCTTGCTAGATATACACCCATTCGGGGGCTTCTACATACTCCACAAGGAAATATTTTGAGCCAACGGACCTATCAGTCCTATGCAAACCAAATAGACTCGCTTGGGACCGGTCAAAATTTTCCGGCTATTTAACAGGCATTGACTGCCGGTGTTGGACTGCAATATTACTGTCTCGAACAATAATATTGTTGTTAACACAATGATATTACGGTGGTGGACTACAATTTAGTGTCTCGAACAATAATATTACTTATTGGTCATTAAAAAATAAACTGGAAAAAAAAGTTTAAAAAAGCAATTAA